CTACCCTTTCCTTCTTCCTTTCCCTCTCTCCATCCCCTTCTCTGTCCCTTTCCCTCTCCTTTTCTCCCCCTCCTCTCCCTCCCTCCACTTTCCCTCCATCTCCACTCCCCCTTCCTCCCCCCACTCCCCTCCATCCCTTCCCTCTTCCCACCTCTCCCTCCCTCCTCCTCTCTTCCCCTTCCATCCCACTCCTCTCTTCCCTCCCTCCTCCCTCTCCCCTCCCTCCCACCCCCTGCGCGTCCTCCTTCCCCCGCAAACAATGCAACAACAAACAACTTCCGGTCACAGAGTCCTCTTTTTGGCATCACGCCGCCAGAATTTCCCCCGTTCGCCTACCTTCGTGTTTCCTGTTTATTATCATTTATCATTATCATCTCCCTGCGTCAACACCGCTGCCAGGAAGTTACATACAGAGAGGCAGGGCGCATTTTAACCAAGGTTGAAAAGAGGTGAAACTACCCCATTAATTTTCCGGACTCCCCTCCCCCCCTCCTCCCCTCTTTTCCCTTCTCTGGCCCTTTCTCACTTCAGCCTCCTTCCTCAATCTTTTCCTTTCTTTTTTTCTTCTTCAGTTTTCCTCTATCCTTTCTCCCTTTTACCTTCCTCAAACTTCTCCTTTTTTTTCTCCCACTCTCTTCCACCCTTCCTCCCTTAAGCCTTCTCCCTTCCTTTTTCTCCTACTCTCTTCCACCCTTTCTCTCTTCCCCCCTTCCTCCACCCTTTCTCCTCTTTTCCTCCCTTCCCCCCCTTTCTCCCTCTTTCCCCCTCCGTCTCCTCCTCCCCACCACCCTCTCCCTCTCCCTCTCCTTCCTAACCGCCATTTACACTCCCTCTCTTTCCCTCTCTTTCCTCCCTCCCTCGTTCACGTTCTTTTCATAACCATCTGTTACCAGCTGCAAGAACGAGCGCGCAAAATAATGGACGTTATTTCGTGGTCGTTCGAAGGTTAAAATGTTTTTAATATTTGACTTCCCCCCCCCCCACCCGGTTGCAATCTTTGGGGGAAAATTCGGTCGACTAACACGTGATCTGGTCTATGTCACGTGACTGGGAATGGTGATAATAATGATGCTATTAATAATAATGATAATAGAAAACTACTAGTAATAGTAATGATAATAATAATAATAATAATGATAGATAAAAATAGCCTTACTAATAAATGATAATAACAATAATAATGATGATAATAATACTAATGATGATGATGATAATACTAATGATGATAATAGTAACAAATAATAATGATAATAATTGAGTTGATAATAATAATAATCATATAAATAAAAAAAATAATAACAATAATAATAATGATACTAATACTACTAATAATAACACCAACAATAATAACAACAACAATAATAACACCAACAATAATAACAACAATAATGAACAAAAACAGCCTTTTAAACCACCCATCTTCCTCTCCCTTTGCCTTGAAAACTTGTTCAAATATTTCCTGGAAAAATTTCTCGTTCCAACATAAGCATTTAGTAATCTGATGTTGATGTTATTAGAAAGCGCACCTCATATTTCACATGGCACACACACACACACACACACACACACACACACACAACACACACACACACACACACACACACACACACACACACACACGCACGCACGCACGCACGCACACACACACACAGACAAACAAACAAACAGTAATTTTTGGGTCATATAATCCAAGGTTGTTTCCCCACGAGAAATATTCTATTTTTTTTCTTTACAACTTTCTTCCTTTATTCCAAGGTAACTTTGATGAGACTTGGGTTAAAGGAGACTTAAATATGGGTCGGTTTATCGTAGAAATGTGGTGTTTTTTTGTTTTTTTTGGGGGAGCGGGGGGGGTGTTGTGTGTGTGTGTGTGTGTGTGTGTGTGTGTGTGTGTGTGTGTGTGTGTGTGTGTGTGTGTGTGTGTGTGTGTGTGTGTGTGTGTGTGTGCGTGTAAGTGCGTGTGCCTGTAAGTGCGTGTGCGTGTGTGCGTGTGTGTGCGTGCGTGTAAGTGCGTGTGTGCGTGTGTGCGTGCGTGTAAGTGTGTGCGTGTAAGTGCGTGCGTGGTGCGTGTGCGTGTGTAAGCGTGTGCGTGTGCGTGTAAATGCGTGTGCGTGTGCGTGTAAGTGCGTGTGCGTGTAAATGCGTGCCGTGTGTAAGTGCGTGTGCGTGTAAGTGCATGTGTATGCGACTCACCTACACGTAATAACCGTACATGTTTCTTCTCGCAAACACGTGTGTCACAAATAACGTTAAAAAATCCCTCTCACATGCGGTTGTATAAGGTTCTCTTTCTCGGAACTTATAATTACAACGCGTGTTCCAAAGGAGAGAGGGAAAAAAAAGTAATCAAGGACGGTAATAAAATTCTCTGCTGGGGGTCTCGATGAATACAAACTCGCCTTTCCTCGCCTCTATTTCTCTCGTCGATTAAATATCGGGTTTACTTACCTCATTCTCAATCGGAAAAATATGAAATAGATTGAAAAATAAATAATCATCTCACTTACCTTGCAATAATCTCGATTTATTTGTTCCACACTTTCTTCTTCGTCTTCGCTGCCGTCTATGTCCTGAAACCATAGAAAACGGAGATAATTCTGGGTCAAAGAAAACGAATTTATGGGTGACTATGGAGTTTTGATGTTGTATTAAATATCCTATCTTCAAGTTTCTGATATATCTCCTTTAAACATTTGTTCAGACATTTTATCAAAAGGTATATGACGGTTTTTATTATGATTTCTTGGAGTAAATATAATAAACCTAAGCATCATCTGTTCGTATTTGCTCCATCAATGGTTCGGATACGGTAGAAAAGAAGAAGGAGAGAGTAGAGAGAGAGAGAGAAGAGAGAGAGAGAGAGAGAGAGAGAGAGAGAGGAGAGAGAGAGAGAGAGAGAGGAGAGAGACGAGAGAGAGAAGAGGAGAGAGAGAGAGGAGAGAGACAGAAGAGAGGAGAGACAGAGAGAGAGGGAGACAGAGAGGGAGAGGAGACAGAGAGGAGAGGGAGAGACAGAGAGGGACAGAGAGGGAGAGAGGGAGAGGGAGACAGAGGGAGAGAGAGAGGAGACGAGAGAGAGCGAGATGAGGAGAGAGGAGAGAGAGAGAGAGAGAGAGAGAGGGAAGAGAGAGAGAGAGGAGAGAGAGAGAGAGAGAGGAGAGAGAGAGAGAGAGAGAGAGAGAGAGAGAGAGAGAGAGAGAGAGAGAGAGAGATGAGAAGAGAGAAGAGAGAGAGAGAGAGAGAGAGAAGAGAGAGAGAAACGAGAGAGGAAGAGAGAGAGAGAGAGAGAAGAGAGAGAGAAGGAGAGAGAGAGAGAGAGGAGGGAGAGAGAAGAGAGAGAGAGAAGAGAGAGAGAGAGAGAGGAAGAGAAGAGGGGACGAGAGGAGAGAGAGGGGAGGAAGAAAGAGAAAGAGGAGAGAAGAGAGGAGAAGAGAAAGAAAGAGGAGGGGGGATTTATGAAAAGGAAGAGAGAGAGGGGCCAGAGAGAAAGAGAGAAAAGAAAAGAAAGACGAAAGAGAAAGAGAGAGAGAGAGAGAAAGAAAGGAAGAGAAGATGAGAGAAGAAGAAAGAAAGAGAAAGAAGAAAGAGAGAGAGAGAGAGAAGAGAGAGAGAGAAAGGAGAAAGAGAGAGAGAAGAGGAGGAGAGAGGAGAGAAAGAGTAGAGAGAAAGAGAAAGAGAAGAGAGAAGAAAAAGAGAAGAAAAAAGAGAAAAAAGAGAAAGGAGCGAAAAGAAAAAAAAGGAGAGACATGAGGAAAAAGAGAGAAAGAAAGAAAAGAAAACGAGAATAGAGAAAAAGAAAAAAATGAAAAGAGTTAAGGAAAGAGACCGAGAGCGAGCGAGCGTGAGAAAGAAAGGAAATATTTGCGAAGGAATACACTCTAAATCCAAAGCCCAAAGTTGCATCAGTATGCCACAGCGTCCATACAGTGCGGCGAAGAGAGACAAGTTCGAAACAAAAGTCTTTTGATATGTATATAAAGAAAAAGAAAGAAAAGTCTTTATATATACATCTAAAAAAGAAGAAAAGAAGGCTTTATATATACATCTAAAAAAGAAAACAAGAACAAAAACAAGTCTTTATAAATACATATAAAAAGAAAAAAGAAAATAATAGTTCCTAAACAGAGAATAAAAGACTACTTATCTTAGAAGTTAATGTACACAGCAGTTGATAGACGTATTGTTAATGAGCATTAGATGTTCTTTCAAAGACAAACACACATACACACAAGCACACACACACATTCATAAACCCACACACACATTCATAAACCCACACACACATTCATAAACCCACACACACATTCATAAACCCACACACACATTCATAAACCCACACACACATTCATAAACCACACACACATTCATAAACCCACACACACATTCATAAACCCACACACACATTCATAAACCCACACACACATTCATAAACCCAAACACATTCATAAGAACACACACACACACATTCACAAACACACATTCATAAACCCGCACACAGACATATTCAAAAACACACACATTCATGAACCCACCCACCCACCCACCCACCCCCACCCACCCACACACACACACACACGTGTATCACAATCAAAAGGTTAATAATTTGCAACAACAGCGAAATCACACAAGAAAAAAAAAGAAAAAAAAAATAATTCGTCGGTTTAATATCAATTCGTTTTCCAAGATAAGCAAAGTTGAAAAAAAATCCTCCTTTTTACATTTACTTCACTCTGCAAGATCAGACGCTGTGTAAAAAAAGGAACAACAGAATCCTCCTCTTGTTGCTGAATTAATCACCACAAAAAACATAATCAGACTTTTAAAGACATCTATTTTTTTCTTTATTTTTTGTTTTTCATTTTTTTTCTATCTCCACTTCGTTCTATCACTCCGTTTCTGTCTATCCCTCGGTTTCTTTATCTATTTATCTGTCTATCTAATGCTTATCTATTTACTAGTCTATTTATCTATCTATCTATCTATGTCCACTGATTATTCTG